CCAATAAAATATGAATACACTCCCTCAACAAAAGAAAATTTTTGTTAATTGATTACAGCAGTTTTGTATTTATTTTAAGTAGAATGACTTCCAAAGTAATTCTTATGAATTTTCAATATCTTTAAAAAATTAGAAATAGGGCAGTCATAAATTCCCAAAATTCCTACTGCCAGAAATTGTTTGTTTCCATGGAGAAGTTTGCTTGGTTTATATTAGAAGGTATAGATACAATTTCATATAAATATCCATGTTGATAGAGTATATATTTATTATTAATATCACATATATTATGATTAAACAAAATTAGAGAGGCCACAGACGTGAATAAAACTCAGAAGGTGGCCACGAACAAAAAAAGAATGTTTCAGAGCCACTGGTGTAGACGGGCCTAAAGAACGCTATTATATCACGCACAAGAGCACGCATCCCAGGAAGACTGTGCAGGGCAGCCTGGCGAGGGAGCAGTGTCCGAAATATAAGCTTACTGCTTCCTGCTACTACACAGAAAGGAATTAAAGAAACGGAGAAACTTACGGAATTCTACTTTACAAAACATAGCCAGATAACATACATTTCCTTTCACTACCTCCTTATGACGTGAGCAGTGCTATAGATATTGAAAATATAAGCAGTCAAATAACCATCTGACAATGAATTCTGGAATAAACTTATGATCCCTGTATTCTTTGAGCTACTTTATGTATAAGACGAAGTACAGGGAACACCTAATACAACCCTGGTTTTTTACGCAATTCAGTTTTCATAATATGTATATTTACCAAAGGTAGACAAGAGATTTTAATTGAATTAAATAAATCAGATATAACCTAAAACATTTTTCATTATAATAACAACTGTTGGAACATATTTCGTATATAAATCATGTGTTTTTATAACACACCAGGTGGTAACGGAAAGTTCCTGCGCTGTTGTTTTGTAACTGCCTCGGTAAAGGAAAGAGAACAGGGGAGGCCAAGGTCACACTTTAGAAAGTCCATTGCATTAGACTGCCACGTGACTCTGCGCTGTGAACAACCATTTTATTTACACGAGTGTTTTTTCGACTTTTTGTTTCGTTTTGTCTGCGACGGATGGCAAAATAGAGCAACGTGTCTGCATCAAGTTTTGGGCGAAGCTCGGTAAAACCGCTACCGAAACCCTTGAAATGCTTCGTGAGGCTTTTGGAAAACATTGTTTAAGCCTGACTGCGGTTTTTGAATGAAATTGGCATTTAAAGGCTTGTCAAGTGTCAGTGGAAGATGACAGGGATTCAGGGCGAACAAACATGAGCAAAACAACAGAAAATGCTGAAAAATTCAAGAAATCATCCACGAAGACCGTCACTGAACAACCCATGAGCTCAATGACACAGCAGGAATCAGTTATGGAGTTTGTCAGAAGATCTAAACAGAAAATTTGAACATGCGCAGTAATGCTTCTTCATCACGACAACGCGCCCGCCCACACTTCCTTGAAAACCACAGAGCTTGTGGCTATCGTTCCCCGTCCTCCCTGCTCGCCGGACTTGACCCCTGTGATTTCGCTTTGTTTCCCCAATTGAAAATGAAACTGAAGGGACGAAATTTTGAAACACTGTCTGACATCCAAAGGGAACCGCAAGCGGCCCTCGACAGCATTAAGGAAATGACTTCCACGGTACTTTTGAAGCATGGAAAAAACGATTGGATCGCTGTACACGTTCCCAAGGAGACTATTTTGAAGGAAATGGTAGCAAAAATTGAGTAGGTTAAGCCAGAATTTGTGTTTTTGGACAATTCCGGAAACTCTCCGATAACAATTCGTATAAGCGCATAGCATTTTCACAAACTCAGAGACAACTTCGATTTGAAGCTGTTACGGCAGTCACTGCAAAGAATGCAATCTTCTGAGACTTGATGCCTTATAGTTTGGTATAAGTGTACCAAAGGTTTGACGGAACCTTAAACCTCCAGCTTCAGAGCTGAAGAATAAGTCAAATAGGCAGGTTTCCCCTGCCAATCTTCATTTCACCAAACTCTCCTTCATCATAATCACCGGGGCAGGTACAATAGGCCAATCACTGGCCTCCGTGCCGAGTGGACCCAGATCTATCTATCTATCTATCTATCTATCTATCTGTCTGTCTGTCTGTCTGTCTGTCTGTCTGTCTGTCTGTCTGTCTGCCTGTCTATCTATCTATCTATCTGTGGCTCTAACGCCCTTTGTTAGGCCTTGGACGCTTTTTCAGTTTCTTAATCTTTACACAGTCCGTAGGACTCCTTGGATGGGGGATCAGCCTGTCGCAAGGCCCCTACCTACACACAGACCAGAACGAAAACAGAATGGACGCACACAAACATTATGCTTCAAGTGGGATTCAAACCCACGATCCCAGTGTTTGAGCGGGTGAAGACAGTTCATATCTTAGACCCCGCGGCTACTGTAATCGGCTTTTACAGTTTACGTTTTTCAAAATGTTATTAACTCACAAAACTGTAGAAACCCTTTTCAGACTAGTGTACTCGTATTATCCACATTTAGAGAGAAAAGTTGAAATGCAGTGGCGACAAAGCAGTGACGTCATAATTGCATTCATAACAACGGAAAATTAAAGATTATAAAGAGTAGCTTCTGGTGGCACGGTACATATTTTTACCACATTCGTGAACATATGAACAAACTAATAAGAAGTCACTGAGAGGACACACGGATATAATGATATAACAAAAACAAAGAAGAAAACTATTCTAAAGTAATGCAATCTAAATACATATGTGTGAATTATATTATATATATATGGCGTATATATTATTTACTGTATGCAGTTNTCTTCGCTTGCAGATTTCTTATATTTTTCTTCTACCCTGAAGATGGAGGCGATACGTTCCTCCGAAACGTCGGTTAACACCACATATACACGGTGCCAAATCCCAGAAGACTGCTTTCTCCCTTTTTAAATTACTTCCTATTCTGTCCACGTGTTCCAGAAATTTCTATCACTCCTAACAATTAGTTCATATACGAGTAGTGCTGCAACTGCGTACAGCCTGCATGAAAGTCTTATTCTAAATATCCTTAAATTGATCGTCGAGGTCAGCTTGCTGTCTTCTGCTCATTCAGCTGCGGTTTCAAGGAGATCTGGCCACTGCATGTTTATGCTCAATCATTTTCAAACATTCGCACCCAGTGCAAGATATGAAAGCTTAACGGAGAGGTAACATTACTTCGTCGCCTGCAAATCCTCTGAAACCACTGAATTTATAAACATTACAGTTGGTACTTGAAGAGCTATGTTACAAGCCGGAACGTCGCGGGTTCAAGTCCCGATGAGGTCATTGGATTTTTTTCAATTTACCTAATCCTTTCAGCCGCACTATGGCCCTGGGGTCGACTCAGCCTCCAACAGAAATGAGTACCAGGAATTAATTACATAATTTTCCTGTGGAGTAAAGCGCGGTCGGCGGGTAAGGCTGACAACCTTACCGCCATCTGTGAACCGATTGTCTAGATAATGTGGGACCCTCAATGTCTCACAACCCTATGGGTCATCATGGCCTGGTGCAGGGATAGCTTTACTTTACTTATAAATTTTTACCGGGAAATATGGCCCTGTTTCGTTATGGTCAGTGTTACTACTCTGCAACCATACCTAACTGACAATTTTTTATTATTCTTAGTGGGGTGAGAGTGAGTCCACTTGGTACTGTGGCCACTTCTGGCCTATTGTACCAGCCCCAGATGATGCATGATGGTGACTGTGCAGCAATTGGTGGAATGAAGATTGGCAGAGGAAACCGAAGTACCCGGAGAAAACCCGCCCCATTGCCATTTTGTCCACCACAAATCCCACTTGTTCAGGCCCGGGATCGAACCCGAGCCGCCGCTGTGGGTGTTCTTACTGTTCGTTGTAAGCCCACCAATTTTGTCTTTCGGATATTCCCTCTTTCTGTTCCTGAAATGCCTACTGGTTTCACGTCTTATAATGCTCAGATTATCCTCACTTATTTCATTTGGATCGCCTAACCACTGCAATTTGATTTGTTTCCTTCTGTCTAATAATTTTATGAATTCTTCATCGAACAATGACTTATGGTTGTTCAGCTCACTTTCTGTGAAATTTCTGTATTCTCTCTAATTGTTTCTCAACTCTATTAACATCCACCTAAGTGTCTAAGTTCTCCAAGGCCGCGAACTTATTTGAGATTTCAACACCATACTCCTCTTTAACCTCTACCTCATTTAATTTCTTGAGATTGAACCTCTGCATATGAACTCTTTGCGTTTTTGTTTACTCACGGTCAGTCTTTCCCTTACGTTTACCACCACCAGGTAGTGGTCAGTACCACAATCTGCTACCTCGAATGATCGGACATCAAGTAAACTTAAGTGCAGTCTCATATCTATCAAAATATGGTCTGTTTGGTTGTGTATCTTCCCATCAGGAGATGTCTCAATTAATGTGTGAATGTTACAATGTGGGAACATCATACTTTTGACAACAAGATTTTCGGATGTGGCAAAGTTTACTACTCTAACTCCATTATCATTATTAATTTCGTATAAAAATATCTTCCCTACTTAATTTGGTATTGAAATCTCCTAACAGATTTTATTTAACATGAATCAAAAATTTTCTTGGAATTTCTATTTCTGGAACACCCCCGCAAACCTTGCCCCTGTCGGCGGGATAAGTTAATATATCACAAGTATGGTCATTAATCTTGTAGAAATATTAACCAATTTAATATTTTTCGAAATTAAACGTACTATCAGTTCCAGTCTGAAATAGAAATAATGTTCTAGCGATTAGCCTTTAAGTAGACAACATGCTTTACATATCACAATAAACGGTTCACTATGCTTAGGAAACACGAGGTCGTATATGGAATTATGAAAATTATAAGCCCCGTTAATTGACATTCCTCACATGAAAAACATTTCTCATACTGCCCATTTGCAGTTGGGCGAGAAAAATGCGAAAACTTCAGGAGAACTTGATATGGCGCACAAGTGTAACTGACCTGCGTAGTGGTAGCCCCTCAGCTAGCTGCCAGCTGACTGGTCGTTGCGACTGCCAAACGACAACTGGCTAGTCTTAGACACGGTCTGTGCTTCCCGCCACGCCAGGACATTCCTCGCTGTGTGATTTTGCAATAGCACATTTCGCGCTTGTTTATTACAACCTGTTACTTCATTTTTATTTGAGAACAAAGTGCTGACGAGAATATAGGGAACTAAACAGTACGAAATAGGATTGTAATGTGTACAATTACATAACATGGATTATCGTATCATAACGTTTCTTAGGAAAATATGTTGTGAGTGTATGAAACGAAATACACAAACTTATTATTGTGCCCAGTGTCTGGGTATTCCAATCACTTAAAAAGAGCGGATTCTTTATGGGGCAAATAATTATGTATATTTTTTAAGTCAGATTCTGGGTTTCCGGCAGAATGTATCTCTTAGATAACAGCCGGGTTAGCTCAGTTGGCATAGTTACTGGCTGGGCGGACTGGGTTTCATTCCCATCAAAAACAATAAGATTCTGTTCTCCGTAACATCCAGACGGGCTCTGGGGCCCACCAAGCCCTCCTATCCAATGGATACTTTTGACTTCTTCCCCGATAGTAAAGTGGCCAGAGTGTGAAACTGACCACTGACCTCCATCTAGTGCGGAGATCAAGAGTGGTGGAGCCATAACTCCACTTCACCGTACACCTTCACGGTACTGTGCTTCCTTAATTAACCACATGAACAATTTTACCTGTTTACCTTAATATCTCTTAGATTGATTTTCGTGTTACACGAAGACATCCTTTCTGCGACATGCATTACATAGCACGAATTAGATGGAAACCTCATTTTAAGATTACACTATTTTCGAATAGAAGATTATTACCTGTTTCAATGAATTATCCCGACATTCGCCCGGAGAGACAGAACGTAACAGAAGAAATCTCAGTCATGAAACGAAGGGATGCTGCAAACCACTGGGGCCGCAGAAAGCAGAGAAAGGGGTAACCCAGTACGTAGCGGGCCGTCCTGCGTGGTGCTGTTCCTCAGGTCTTCCACGCGCCAAGCTTCCTTTCTTCTTATGGAGCTCATGTTACTACCTGCATGAAAGACCAATATGTAGTTCAGTTCCGTCTTAGACCACTCCAATCAAATTGTAACTCATCACATCACAATATTCCCATTTGTATGTTGTTGTTGTTGTTGTTCTTCTTCTTATTATTATTAATTACAATGTTTATCTGCTTGTAACTAGTCTTCATCACATAACGTAACGCGTGTTAATGCTGATGTTGAGAGATTGAATGTTCCTGTAACTCAAGCCATAGATTTGGATATTCTTTCTGGCTACACTAAAGGTATGAATATCCTATTTGGTTTCCTAGTGAATTAATAGTTTACATTAAAACACATTATTTTTATAGACATTACACGAAGTTTAGGACTAACTGTTTGTAGGAAAAATTTCTTTGTATAGAAAACCAGTTAATACAAACATTAAAGGCGAAGGCACACCAAGGAAACTGGCAAACACAACGCAGAGGCAACTTCCGAGAAATGTCGCCCATTTCAAGCAGGCAACTGGTTTCCAGATTAGCAGGCGCACAATGAGAAAACTTATGTTTGATTAGTTGCTCACTTCATCTGAAGTAGTTATGCTCGTCCGACGTAATGTATGATTGTATTTTTTAAATTTCGTGCACTTACCTTCTGCAATGGAACATAATATTTATCCTCTCATAATATGGAGATAGTTGAGACCGGTTGAGACGGCGTGAGAAGAAAGGACGACGGCCACGAAGAAAATATTGGGATGTTAATTAAGTTTTTATTAAGGTCAATTTATTTTAATCAAGAAATATCGCTTTCATACGCGATACGAAATTTTGACATAGAGTGCAACAATTTTAGCAAGATAGAAGACACCTGATGATGGCCTTATGCAACCGAACCATGTAATGTGGAAAAAGGTGACTATATAAAAAGTTGTGAAATAAATGATATATTAATGCAAAAGAATGCTTAAATATAATATTAAGTAAAAAGTAGAGCTATCCCCGTACCAGGCGTGAAGGCCCAAAGGGTTGTGAGACGCTGAGGGTCCCACATTATCTAGACAATCGGCTCAAACATGGCGGTAAGGCTGTCAGCCTTTCGCGCCGGCCGCGCTTTTCTCCCCAGAAAAATTATTTAATTAATTCCTGGTACTGATTTCTGAAAAGAAAATATTGGGTGCATCCTTTCTTCTAGACTAATTTAAAATGAGGCGCTTATATCGTTTCGAAAGAAGTTAACCTGGATCCAGGCTCCATCGTCTCACGAGATATCATTTCCCAAGCCAAGTCTATTTTGTCCTGCCTAGCATAGTCTGGGTGGCGTTTGTCATATATACCGGACTCTTGCTCAGTTAACTGTACAAACACAAAATTAGCAACTTCATCAACCTTTCGTGCTACCAAAAGTAACAAATGAATCACTGACACGCGTTATAGAACAGCTGACACTAGGAAACTACGCGGCAATGAAATTGTGAGTGGACTGGTATGCTCCGTTGCCTGGAAGTTGAGTTTCTCAGTCTTTCCGTGAGTTGCGCTGCCGTTTCTTAAATTGGCGCTGCTCCATTCAGTAACGTCAGTTCAAATCAGGCTGACAACAATTCTCGGAAATTGCGGTTGCGTTGCAGTTGCCAGTTACCTTGGTGTGTCATCGTCCTAAGACTGACAGATATCACTGACTCAAATCCGTGGACGAAAATTTAAAACGTTACTATGAGCGATTTTAGAAGTATGTATTGAAATTTGGTCAAAAGAATGTAGCTTTAATAAACTTTGATATCAACGGTATTTTTAAAACAATCGTTTTTATATTGCTGACACATTTTCGAAATATTTTTCTCGGTGTATAATACATCTTGCTCCTAGAGCTTTTTTTCTGTTGGTCAATGTACAGAAATTTTATCTTTAGCTCCTTTTTTATAAAACGGTTACAGTCACTGAAATTATTCGGACTTGACTGTTTGCAGTATACTGTTATAAATCGTTGTTCTGAAATTTATATATCTGTTCTCAAGTTCATCGTTAATATTAGCCTATCTCAGAATACTTTTCTTAACTTGTGGAAGCAAGCAGCGATTGTTCATTTTTTTAAAAACAAAACTTCCTCTGTTGGAAATACAGTTCCATTACTGAGCTCAAAAAAATCTACATTTTTTTTAAATTTATCATATATGACCCCAATTCTCACTATTTTAAAATCTGCTTTAAACAATTCTCAGCGGGGTTTTATCAAATCTAAACTTATTGTTATGAGTTTAATCATTTTCCTTGACTTCTTTTACCATTTTATTCAGTACGTGAGGTCGAGCTGAGTTCATTAATTTTGGTTTTAGAAGTAATTTCGACGTTGTTACACTTGCTTCTTTTTGCTCACAATCTCAATAGCTATGGATAACTTTCCGGCTAACTGAGTTGGTTTCTTGTGTCTTCACGCAGTTTTGTGTATATTCTTCTGTTGTATTTTTTTCGCCTTCTGTAATGTTGTGAGGGGAGCCTCAAAGGTCAGATTCAGGACTTTTACCTTTTAATATTATTTAAAGAAGTTGCGACATTATTAACTGTTGCTACTGTCTTCTCTTTCCCGAAGTTCTTAATGTCTATTGAGCTATTAATTCACCTAGGGACACTTCAATTTTGCAATGAGATACAGATTGTATGTTCACTAATGATGTTCTTCAAATGTTGCGAAGCCTCACTTACTCACTCACTCATGGAGCTGAGCACTTCTTGAGGAGCCGCCAATTGTTCAGTTACTCAAGAACTTTTCAGAATTTTATGGAACTCGAAGGTTTATTACCGTGTTCGCAAAAGCACTCCCCTGGTCCCTATCCTGAGCCAGATCCATCCAATCCATTCCATCTCATCCACCTTGAGTTGATTGTTCTTATTATATTTGGAGAATGGAACAAGATGTGAAATTCCTCATTAAGCAGTTTTCTCCAACCTCCTGTCACTTCATCCCTCTTCGGTCCAAATATTCTCCTCAACACCCTGTTCTCAAACACCCTCAGTCTATGCTCCTCCCTTAATGTCAAAGACCAAGTTTCACACCCATATAGAACCACAGGCAAAATTATAGGTTTGCATTATCTAATTTTAAGGTTTTTGACAGCAGACGAGAAGACAAAAGGTTCTGGACTGAATGGTAGCAAGCATTAACCGAGTTCAGTCTCGTCCTAATTTCCTCCTGAATCAGGTTTTGTTATAGTCGTTCCCAAATATCTGAACTCTGACACGTTTTCAAAACATTTGTTTCCTAGATTTCTGTCATGAATTCTCCCTGCATTTTGGTGAGGAGATAGCAGCATAAACTTAGTTTTCTCTGTTTGCTTCTAGACCAACCTCTTTACTTGCGTCAATTACAGTTTGTGTTTTTTTTTATGTTATCACCCAGTAGATTCACATCATCAGCATAGACCAACAGCTGATGTGCCCCGTTTAGTTTCAGTCCCACCTGGTTTTCCTGGACCTTCCTAATGGCATATTCTAAAGTAAAGACAAAAGTAGCGGCGATAAAGCATCTCCTTGTTTTAGAACATTTAAAAATATTTACCTATAAAAATGTTCCTGTGGGTTTCATTTAAACACAATCTAATCAGCCTAACTGTTCCATGGGTAGTCCAAACTGTATGAGAATACTGTACAATACTTCCCTCCTAACTTCATCATAGGCTTTCTTGAAGTCTATGAATAGCTGATGTACTATCTCATTGTACTCTTCTTTTTTCTCCAATATCTCACGAATGCAAATGATTTGATCTGTAGTTGATCTGTTATGTCGAAACTCACACTGATGACCCCCAATAATAGCATCTATGTATGGCTTTAACTTTGACACAAGAATATTGGACAAAATTTTGTATGAAAATAATTGCAGTGATATCCCCCGATAATTACTACAGCCAGTTTTATCAGCCTCCTTGTGATCTGGTAGAATAATAGACGCCTTCCACCGATCATGAAATTCCTCCTTATTCGAAATAGAATTAATTAGCTGATGGAACATAGAACGTAATATTTCACATCCTGCTTGAATAAGTTCTGTCGGAA